TCGGGGTCATAAAATTCCGACGGACGTGGAAAATTGCATGCCGCGGCAGGAACGAGGAAATACAAGGGCGAGGGAGAGGTGGAGACGGCGAGGGAGAGAGGACGTTACGTCTGGAACATGTAATGGCGACCCGCCCGCCATCCTCCCACGGGAAACTTCCGCGGAAGTGTACCTTTTACGCCGCATTCTTCCTATATCCCTTGGCGCAAGGAGGAGACAAGTGCGGGGCGACGAACACACCTTTGTATATTTGCGGCCTTTGCCGGCCATTAGTATCGCTCACGATAGACATGCTGAGTCCTGCTTTGCGATTTCGATGTAAATTGTGCGCCACCAGCCACGCGCGTGCACATAGAAAGTCCTTACGCGGGAAGGAATTCGTGGTATGCCGCATGAAAGGGGCGAAAATACGGACGAACCGGATCGAATTCGTCCAATTGAACGTTACTAGACGTCGAAAAATTTTAGTAAGATATATACAGAGGAATAATCGAAATATCGTACTTTTTTCATAACTTTTTTCGTTGACGGTTTCGTCAATCGAGATATGGATAATCTCTGCGGATCAGTTTCCACTTTGCATTTCGATTTATTTTTATTCAATTCAATATGGATTTCGGTCTATCTCGAGGCTCATTTTCAAGATTCTTATTTCCACATTTGAATTTTTTTCGAGTATATCTTCTCAGAAATCTAACCTAATATTTCGATATATTTCAGCTGCAGGTTGAGTTTCGTGGCCCAGTTCAAACTCATACAGGAATAATATTCTAAATTCGTTCACTTTTCAAAAAATAGTTAAACTAATACAAAAAAAAACTTATTACGCAAAGAATAAGTCAAAATATAGATTAAGTAGAATTTACAAGTCGCGATTGATTCTCATTTATTCTAAAATTGACAACTTCATGTGATACAATCTAATTGATGAATGATTAAAATAATGCTGAATTTCATTTATCGAGATGAAAGTTAAAGTTCGAATAAGCGAACGATAATAACGAATGTAATGTATGTGAGTTAATGAACGTATATGTAATTGAATTCATTTGTTTAAATTGTAACTCTGTACTTTCTGCTCTTATTTGAGTAAAAAAGACTGTTATAGAAATCTATTCATCGGGAGGAAATGTGTTTTGTTGTTTACGTATATCGATTAATATTGGAAAAACGATTACAATATGGTGGAATTTCATTAATGAAACTTTAAATGAAGATTATTCGATTATATGTAAATATCTTTGGAATGAAAATAAATATCTAATATAATGGTTTAATATAATTCGAAAAATGAAATAATAAAATCAATAATTGAATTTATTTATATGAACATGAATTCTGGTTATTTGAAAATTTTTTAAATAGACAATGAACTTATTATATGAACTTGATATTACGAATCTACTCGCTTATTCCATCGAATTTATATAAGTGGAATTCTATTTTCTGCAGTTTATCTTAATTGTGAAATTTCTATGATATGATGTAACATGTTTTAATTATGGTATATTAATAATGTTATTTCACTAGATAATTATTTTTAACAATCGATTTTTTAGATACATAAATTATGAATTAAATCATCGATAAATAACATAAATAAGTAACGAATCAACTATTTCTATAGAGCAAGATATTTTTATTTTTTAAAACGTTCACCCTCTTCTACAAAATTTTATTAAAACACTTCATAAAAAAAAAGTAAAAAATAAAAAAAAAATCTTCCACTTTCGAGAACTCTTTTCCCTCGAACAACAGCCGATCCACCATGAAAAATAAAAAAAATATATATATATATATAAAGGGTACGAAAATGGAACACGCACGCTTTGTAATTCACCTTTCCCAATTCCCCTTTATCGATCGAAAGCCTCCCTAATCCCCAACCTTGCTTAAAAATAACGCTTTTAGTTATACCTTTGAAACGTTTTGCAAATCCACTCCACGATACCATGAGTGAAACTCGAAAAAGGTTCGTTACACGAGCGCGTAAGCTCGATTTATCGACGATCGACGAGGCGGCAAAAAGAAAAAAAAGCGAAAGAAATAAAAAAAAGAAAAAAAAGACGAAAGGAAACGATAACAGGTAGGACAGATTAGAATAACGAGTGGTGGCCATTCGATTGTAGAAGAATCTCGATAAAGCTTACAAATTTCCGCGTTATCTTTGGAACGCAATATTCAGCCGTTCCTTGGTTAAGCGATATTGGTTAGCGCTAAATTATGGCCCCGATGCGGTAGACACCAAGCGCGCTGGCTTTCCCCCTCCAAGTTTATTTTCGGTCGTTGAGCCATGAGAGAAGGAGAGAGAGAGAAGGAGAGAGAGAAAGAGAGAGATTTACGTTGACGTCCGTTGTGCGGAGGGACGATAAATTGGTGGCACGAGGCAAGGATCGGTGGTAAACGGGCCTCTGTGGGTAAAGAAAATCCTGGACGGATTGCAGCTCGTGTTCGCAGGTCAGTAAGATTGTTAACTTGTCCTTTCGATGCGATATAGTTACGTGTTACATATGTGTCTACATTTTGACTGAATTAAACTTCATTTTGCGACAATACGTTGTTTCTAATCTTATTTTTGTATATTTTGATACAGTATTAGATTTAGAAATCCATCGATCGAGGAGTTATGAGTTAATATTAGGTTAGGTTAGGCTGGATATACGGATTGTAGCTCGAGTTCATGGATTGGTAGAACTGTTGACTTGGCCTTTCGATGCGATATGGTTATATACTACGTATGTATACACGTTCGATTAAACTTCGTTTCGGGACAATACATTGTTTCTAATCTTGTTTTTGTATATTCTGATAATATTAGATTATAGAATCACGAGATGAGTGTTTGATATTAGGTTAAACGTATGTTCTTGCGTATACGTTAAACTTTGTTTTGAGACAACGAATAAATAGAGAATAATGTGCGTGTGAGAGAAAGAGAAAGCAATTTTCGAACAAAGATTATTTTTAGGCTTATCGAATATATGGCTTTATAGAATATATATAAAAGAAAAAAATTTAAAAAGATGAAGGTTGATATATAAAATCTCGTTTCAAAT